GAACCATACCATTGGGTCCAATCGCTGCTTTTTGTACCGCACTCCGGCTTATGCGAGAGAAGCAGCAGCAGCCCGACTCCCCCCAACCTGCGCCAGAGACAACCCCCGCAGGGGCATTTCACGGGCGGTCAGGAGGCGGATCCTGAACATTGCTCCGCCCACGTCGACTACTGTACAATGTCTGAGCGGCATCGTCATATAAAGAAGAATATTTTTGGTAAAGGTTCTAATTTATTTTTTTCGGCTTTCCGTGAGGAACGTTTCTCTCTCTGTTCCGTCTCCTCGTTTTCTTTGGATATTTTTAATTTAGGATTTTTTTTGTTGTTTTTTTTTATCTTCTGTAATTTTCTTACATAAAACATTTTTTCCTCTGATGGGTTTTTGTTGTTTTTTTTTCTGTACGTTGCTCTGAAGAATTTCACTGTTTTTTTCTTGATTCTTCCATCGGAGGCTTCTCACACAGGTTCTGTCATGCCATCCACTTCCTTTAACCCCTTCGTGACGGGAGAACGTACGCGGCGACGGGTTATTTGCGGCTCTGTAACGCCGGTCACCAGCCATTAATGAAAGGATGAAGCCGTCGCATACACATACGGGAGCGCTAAATAGCGATCCGGTATACGACGTCTGATAGTGGCGTAACGATCGCCATAGCGACCCAGGCAGCCGCTATGGGGGGCCCGGCCAGGGCATCCCTCTGATGCCGTGTGGGTCGCTGTGGCATGTAAGGGTGCTGGACACGGCTCCGCAGCGGCTCTTGAGGGTAAACGCGCCGCTGCACACATCACTGACAGGTTGTCGGTAATCATCACTGAAGACCACTGACAACCAGTCAGTGATGCGTGCAGCGGCCGCGGCGCGTTCTCCCTCACAACCGCTGCGGCGGAAGAGGCCGGCGTTCGCAGTGAAGGAGGAGGCGGGGCCCGCCTAAGAGCAACCCCGCCTCCACTTACATCACTGGCCAGCGACCTAAGAGCAGGTGTGGCCAGTGATGTAAGAGGAGGCGGGGTTTGTCGATAGAAGAGGAGGCGGGGCTCGGCGACCACGGAGGTGGACAGCGCTGACAGGTAAAGAGGCGTGCAGCCCACCTGAGACCCTGCAGAGCCCACTATAGAGAGTCTATGGTGGGCTCTGCATGTGGCATAACTAGCAATCACGGGGGCCCCATACAACATTTTGCTACGGGGGCCCGGTGATTTCTAGTTACGCCCCCTGCTCTCTGCTATTCGTTTTGACAGCTCGATTGCCCGATGTTTATGATACATTTCAGGAACAGGAATGTTACAATGTATCTCTGTGCCTGAAATGTATCATAAACATCGTCTAGGCGGGATCAAAAACCTTTACGCTGGGTTCACACCTTAGCGTATTGGAAACTCGCGCTTGCCGCGCGGTTTTTCCCGCGATTTGCGGTAAAAGGAACGCGAGTTTCCCAGGGGGTATCCGGCTGATAACAGCGGGATACGGGCGTTAATACGCCCCAAAGAAGCTCATGTACTTCTTTGGGCGTATGGCGTTTTACCACGCATTCGAACGGGCGGTAAAACGCGCAGGTGAGAACCATGACCATAGGCATCTGGACTCCAGTCCAGAAGTGGTCTGATCGGCAGCAGAACATGTCAGGTGGGGGGGTGCAACATGTCACCATGGTGGCCGGGCAGACGGCGAGTCCGGCTCCATATTTCTCTCACGACAAATTGTCCCTTCTGGTCAGCAACGGCACCTATCACCTTAATGGGCCCCTGATGAGGGAAGATTGGGGGCCGGGCTGATGGTGGTGGGGGAGGGGATCAGAGAGAGATAAAGGGCGTCGGGGGGGTTTGGGGAAAGGTCTAGAGCAGTGGTTCTCAGCCTGTGTCACCTCAGGACCCAACTTACGGCCGTGGGGGCCGTGGCTACGGTGCCATTCGCTTCAAAGGCCTGCCACACCCCCCCTCCTGCCCCGCCAAAAAAGTGAGCCGGCCGTAATGCGATGCCGTGCGTTCTGGCCAGAATCGGGCCGGGAACGCACTGCACCTGGTGTGAACAAACCCAAAGTCGTCGTGACCCGAGTCGCACTGGAACGCGCGGCATTGCGGTACCGGGAATGTGGATGGAGGCAATCGGACTGCGGGGTGGGAGGTTCATTTGGGGGCGTCATTCAAATGAATGACAATGCAACGCACCTCCCACACCAGAACACGCAGTAGGTATGCTTGCGCGGTGCAGTGCGTTAATCGCATGGGGACTGTGTGATAAACGCACTTTACTAGTGTGCGGGGGCCTCAGAAACACTGACACAACCACTCCCCCCTCCCCCCCCTACCATACGAGAACTGGATCCTGGGGATCCTCAGCCTGGGCCGCTGTGACGGAGCTCCAGCCATATGTGCAATGCTGGTACAGCTCCCTTGCTCACCTCTGTAGAGGTTTCCGGGAGCCAGAATGTGACGTCACTCCGATCCAGGCTCCTCTATAGGACACGTGAGGGAGCTGCAATGCACCTATGGATGGAGGTCCCTCGCGGCCATACCCCCCATCCCACCCCACCTCACCCCCCTCCATCCTCCTCCTCCACACTGAGCACGCGCGGCCGCCGCCCCTCCTCCTCCTCCACACTGAGCACGCGCGGCCGCCCCTCCTCCTCCTCCACACTGAGCAATGAGACAAATTCTTTTATATCTGAAAATCTTTTAATGTGACAAAAGAATCCCAACAATGTCACCGACCCATCAATCCGACCCCCCAAATCTGCACTGTGTGTCCGGGGAGACTTCTAGAGACATTCCCCCGGGGAGGAAACATGAAACCCCTCCCCCTCCGGACCCATCACAGGATGTGGTGATGACCACTGATGTCACCCCTCCCCCCAGGTGATGACCAGTGATGTCACCCCTCCCCCAGGTGATGACCTGTGATGTCACCCCTCCCCCAGGTGATGACCTGTGATGTCACTGGTGGGGCCCCCACTTTGTACTTCCATGCCCGGCCCCCTCTGATGGTGGAGTCCGTATTCGGGAGGCTCTGGGAGGCCGTATCCTCATCCGTATCCGACAGATACCGGAGAATCTCGGAGCTCCCCCCTGATGGGGCCCCGCGCTGTGTTACGAGGGGCCCCTCCTCACAGGACAGCCGAGGAGAGGCCGGGGGCGAAGAAGCTGACGTTCTTGTCCTGGATCTTGTACTGGAGGACCACGGATCGGTCCCGCGGGTGCTTGTGGGTGATCTTCAGCTGTGAGAGAGAAGAGGCGGAGTCAGGAGGCGGAGTCAGGAGCCGAGCGCACAAAGCTGGAGATTCACCCGGCCCGGTGAATCCGCCAGAATCCTAACATGGGGCGGCCGTGACGGCACCAACCGGCACCGCAACAAGAACAAGTGAAGGAGCCGGGTGGAAAATCGCTGGCCAATCAGATCTAGTCAGAGGCGGAGACCTCCCTGCTGGTGACTCCGCCCACAATGATGGGGTTCTAGTACTTACCGTCATATCCATGGAGGGACACCGGCATTCAGGTACAGTTGGGTTATAGTGCCGCCTGCAGGGGGATTGGATACCGGTAATCCCGCCCCCAGGAACAGAGATTGATGGACACGTACACAGGAAGTGAGGGAGGTCAGAGGTCACCGTCTGAGGGGAATGACTCCACCAGGAAGGGGAACCCGAATCTCAGCTGAGCGACCACAACCCAAAACTGGAGGAATGAGACGGAGCCGGGAGGGAAGGACCCGCCCCCCTGACGTGGTCACCCGAGAGGAACCAGAACATGAACCCGATTGGGGCAGGAAAGACCATCTGACCTATATGAGGAGTCCCGGGCCCCGCCCATTGGAGCCCCGGGGACTATAGAAGGCCGCCGCCTACACGAACCCTGTACAATAATAGTACCACAAGGGTGTTAGGAGACCCCTCAGGGCACTAGAGAAGCCGAGGGGGCGGAGCCAACAATGGGCAGAGGGAAGACAGTCATGGGGGGGAGGGGATTTGCCCTAATGCCTCACACTCCCTCTATGGAGGAAGGGGGAGGAGCTTCTTGACGATGGAGATAAAAGGTACACAAGGTGTGGCCCTAGGTTGGGATGGATCGCCTCACCCATTGGTGACAAGTGGCCATCAACTCTAGAACCTGCTGGGGCCCGATGTGGCCGGAGCTTACAGGAGTGTGGCCCTTTGCTGACCACCAGGAGATCACCTACAATGGTGATGCCGGGAATGGCCGGCGCTCTGAGGGACTGCCCCCGAGGATCCCGGTCCTCGTCCAAGGAGAGAACTAGGAATGGTCCATCGTGTGGGTCCGGCGACTCCCTATGGGGCAGGACAGGCCCTGAGGGGTAACGTGAACCACGG